CAGGTCGGCGGTCCCGGATCCCAAACCCGCCTGCCCCGTGGCCCTCTTCCCGGGAGGGCAGTGTCGGCGAGGCTGAGGGAGGCCTGTGGCCCTAGTCCAGCCCAAGGACCACGCCACCAGCCCTTCCTGGCTCCTGAATTCTTAATCAGCATAAATATTTACTTCCTTCCTCCTCTTCCAGGCTCCCAGCACAGAGTAGCTTCTGGGAGGTTGGACTGGGTCTGTGTCTAAAAATAAACAGGTGGGGGGACAGCAGACAGACAGACAGACGGGGCTGGGGGTGGGGTCAGGTGGAGGGCAGCGCCCTGGCCAGCCGCAGGAAGTGCGGAGGGCCAGACCCCTTCGTCCCCATCACCCACTCCCTGCCCACCTGAGCCTGGGGATCCTGCAGGACAGAGTGGGGTGTGGTCCCAGCCCACCGGCAGTGACCGGAGCCCCCAGCCCACGTCTGGCCTGTGGGGCAAACCTGAGCCAGGTCTCCAGGCTGAGTTCATGGACACAGGCAGGTGCTCTGGGTGCTGGGGTCCTGGCAGAGCCCCCGGGGGAGGGACCCCCCACGCCTGCCCGAGGTCTCGGGGGGCACTTGTGGGCTTGGGGTCTGAGCAGGGGAAGACTCATCTCAGGAGGCTGAGTGGGCACAGGCGCCGTGCCAGCCCCCCGGGGGCCTGTCGGGCGCCCGAGCCGCGCCCGGGACGTGCCAGGGACTGCCCGCTGCAGGTGCACGGCGGCTGCGCTAATCTGGGAGCCGGGCTCCGCGGCGAGGGATGGTCTGGGTTAGCAGAGAGACTCTCGGGTGCGATCAGCGCAACTAAGAGGCGAGGAGACACGTGACTGCCCCCACCCCTGCGACGGGATCGCTGCTCTAAAAACAGGCGTGGGTTTGGACGTTGAACTTGTTCTTGGGTCCTTGACATGCAAAGAAAATGACCCCACTGAGAAGTCCTGAGAAAATGGAGGACAGTGCAGCCCGAGAACTGGCAGTGAAGGAGAGTGGTCAGTAACAGGCATATGCGTGACGTCTCGCCCCGGCCCGCAGTCCCCTAGGTCAACCCTGCCCGGCCGCGGGCCCGGTCCCTGGCGCCCCCTGGTGGAGGCCCGGAGCCCCGCGAGGCGCGCGCCCTCCTGCCTCTCCTCGCACCTCCGCGGCACCCCACCCAGCCGGCCGGGTCCCTCAGGGCCAGCTCAAGGCGCCCCGGGGGGGTCACTGGCGCCTGGGCGGCTTGCCCAGGCCGACTTGCCTCACGACCTTTGGGGGGGGGG